AGTAAGTAACACATACTGCTGATACTTTTCCTACCTAATATACACCAAACATAATCATAATTTGTTTACCCAACTAAGTCACAATCTACTCCCTTGGGGTACCATGGACACATTTGTTGTGTGCCAATTAGATACCTCATGATGTGTTTGACCGCACTGAGATGTGATTCTTTTAGGGACGCTTTAAAGCAAGCACTAAGACATACAACCAACATGATATTATGACGAGATGTAATAAGATATAGAAAAAAAACATATCATACCTTTGTACTTTCTTTCTTCCATTGGTTTCCTACTTTCTTCCTTGTCGAGGTTGCACGACGTTGACATTGGGGTTACTATAATTTTGTACTTTTCTATGTAAAACCTTTCCAATAATTCTTTCTAGTATTTGGCTTAATTGATAAAATTTCCTTCCTTAGTTTGATGGATTTGAAGTATTAGGGTGTATCGAAGCTCACCCATCATTGACATTTCGAATTCGCTCTACATCAATTAAGAAAATTCCTTGCACAAGAATTCTTTAGTGGCACAAAATATAATATCATCGACATATATCTAAACTAATAAGATTCATGTTCTATTTTCTTGATAAAAATAGTTTTATCGAGTTATCCTCTTTGGAACTTATTTTCAAGCAATAATTTTCTCAGAAGATGGTACCATACTCTAGGAGCTTGTTTCATACCATACAAGACTTTCTTGAGCTTGAAAACATGATCAGGAAAGGTTGAGTTGATAAAATCTAAAGGTTGATCAACGTATACCTCCTGTTGGATGTAACCATTTATAAAGCACTTTTTACATCCATTTGAAATAGTTTGAAATTCACGATGCATGACAAAACCAATAACATCCTTATGGCATTTAATCTACTACACGAGTATAAGTTTCGTCGAAATCCATTCCTTCATATTGATTGTGACCTTTCACAATGAGCCTAACTTTATTTCTTAAAACATTGGTATCTTTGTCCAACTTGTTGCGAAAGACCTATCAGGTACCAATCATTATATTAGCTGAAGCTTTAGGAACGAGATTCCAAATGTGGTTTTGTTCAAATTGATTTAACTTTTCTTGTATGACAAGATACCAATATTCATCGATGATAGCTTTACTGATTCCCTTTATTTCAATTCATGAAACAAAGGCCATAAAGTTACATACCTTATTAAGAGGTCATCTAATAGTGATTCTCTTAGAGTTGTCTCCGATAACATTTTGAATGAAATGATTTTTTGTCGTTTTCAATTCTTTAGGAAGATCTTGATGATCTGAAGAAGTATCCATGTTTTGATTTTGGACAAATTCTTCATCTACGACTTGATTCTGACTTTGACCTTGTTATATTTCTTGATTATTTTCCTTCATATCTGTCTTATCCAAAATACATGCACCATCAGTTACTTCTACTTAATGGTTTAGGGTTGGATTCATCAAAAGTAAGATGAACCAATTATTCAGTTGTCATAGTTCTTTTGTTAAAAACTCTAAAAGCTTTGTTTGAAGTGGAATATCCTTTGAATATGCCTTGATCAACTTTTGTGTCAATTTTTTGAGGTTATCTTTTCCGTTGTTAACGAGAATACACTTGCATCCAAAAACATGTCACTGAGAGATATTACGTTTTCTTCCTTTATATAGTTCATATGGCGTTTACTTTAGAATTGATCTTATAAAACACGATTTATGACGTATCAATTGGTGCTTACCGCATCAGCTTATGAATATTTAGGAAGATTGCGAATCTCCATTACGGTGGACCCAAGGGGTGCCTGCATGATTAACATTCTAACGCCTAAGTCAGTTTAGATTTCAAGATAATCGTAGTGGGTGTGGAGATTAAAAATTGTGTACATAAAACTCTTTTGTAACTTATTGAACCTACGACCGACCCAATATATATATATATATATATATATATATATATATATATATATATATATATATATATATATATATATATATATATATATATATATATATATATATATATATATATATATATATATATATATATATATATATATATATATATATATATATATATATATATATATATATATATATATATATATATATATATATATATATATATATATATATATATATATATATATATATATAGCGTTTGCTAACGTATACCCACTTGTTTTATGAAAGTCTAGTTTAAAAAGCTTTAATTAAAAAAATTCTTAAATACACCTTAAGGTGCATGTTACTAAAACACACTTTCATAAAAACAAGTGAGTGTATTATAACAAACTCCACAGGAATTTGCTATAATACACCCACTTGTTTTTTTGAAAGTGTATTTTAGCAAGTTTTAATTAAAAAATAATTAAATACATCATAAAGTACATGTTGCTAAAATAAATTTTTATAAAAATAAATGGGTCTACGTTAAAAAAATTTACTTTTTAGATACATTGAATAATTAATATATCTGATCTATATATAAATCAGATATATTAATTATTCAATTTATTTTAAAAAAAAATTTGTTCAATTTATCTAAAAAATAAAATTAGTTTATAATACGAAAGAGAAATTATAATTCAAAGGTTTTTAAGGTGGAAGGTCAAATTCTCTAAATTTACAATATTTACCAACCAGTTAGAAGTTGAAGACAGTTGTTACCTCTCTAGCTTGTAGCCACCACCAGGTTCATTCAATTCCATGGAACTTACCCCCACCACTTTTTTAAATTTTTTCAATTTTTACTCTCAATTAGAACCTTATAGATTATAGGTATATGTAAATATACTTTTCTTTTTCATATGAACTAGTACTATACTTAGCCTTTCTTTAATAAGTAAAAAAACACAAGTAATATTCTATCCAAAAACAAATCATTAAAAAGATTCTGTTTCGTAGAAAACTTGAACAAATAAAAATCTACTTAAGACAGATTTAGAAATTTAAGATTGATTTTGTTTACACCATACACAAAGTTACTTCTTTTTTATAAGCAAAACTCCAATAATATATTCTTTCACTATTGAAAGAAAAAGAACAAAAGATAATGATATGAAATAAAGTTAAGATAATGAGAGTCAAATATGAGAAATAAAAAAAGGGAAAAGATATTTTTACACTAAGTTTAACACTTACACCGTATAAGTATATATAATATATACTATTTTTCTTTTTTTAATAATTACTTTACCTTGATTTCTGTGCAAAAAATTTGTTACTTTGTTGTGCATCTACGGTGTAGGTACGGTGTATATACCAAGCAGTGTCAAAATAGCAAGCCTCATAAAAAAAGCAGTGGATTGGTCATTTGGTGCTTTGAGTTGATTATGTTCCCACACAAACATTACATAATTGATGGACACATTGAAGGAAGAGAGAGAAAGGTTTTAAAGGGTTGTTGGCAATTAACAAAAAGTAGAACCACACAACTGTCCTATGGAGTGGCTTGTGACATTATTTTTTTGCCTAGGGAAAAAGGTAATGGCAATAGCAATAGCACCACACCACAAATGAGAGGCTATTAGTATTGCCCTTCAAAAAGTAAAAAGTGGGGCATGAGGGTGATTTTTTTTTATTTTTAATATTTTTAAATAATTTTTGTATTTATGTAAAATATTTTATAACTTTATTCATTACTAATTTTTATAGAAAAATAATAGATTGGCCATTTTTATTGAATTTTTTATTTTTATTATTTCATCCACAGGTTTCGAATTTAAAAAATAGACTAATACCCTCACAAAAGACTTTATTTATACATATTTTTCGATAATCTATTATTAAATTTATCAGAGCATCCATATCAATCAATATGTTTTAGAAATATGTGAATGTTTTTTTATGAATAATTATCTTTTTTTTTGTTGATATTTAATTGTTTGATTAAAATTTTAATTTTTTAAAAATTTAAATATATGTAGAATTTGGTGAAATTGATTTTAAATTTGTTGATAAATTATAAATATATAAAAATTATATTTAAATAGTTCATATAAATATAAAATAAAATAAAAAATAAAATAAGATTCATTTAAAAAATTATTGGATAATGATGTTATATTAGACATTGCAACTTTTAATGTTGGTATATATTTTTTAAATTTGTTTGAAATATAGACAATTTGATTTAAATCCAATAAGGATCATCATAATAAGCATGTGAGTGCAAGCTTTTGTTGAAAAAAAGAAAATCTTAATTTCAAAATATTGCCATATCACTTTGAATAATCAACAAAAATTTAAAATTCAATATTTAAATATTTTTATAAAATACAAAATATATTTTCGTGCTACATACATAACTCTAAAAAAACATTAAAATGCAAAAATTCAAATTCGATCTTGAAAATTTCTATTTTTTAATATTTTGATAACCACTAAATTATTTAAAAAATATATTTTCAAAATTTGAAATTAAAATATTAAAATCAATAATCAATCTTAAAAAAAATAGTAAAATTGCATTTAAGCTATAAAATCTTGTACACACATGAAATAAAAAAACTCAAAAAAAGTAAGAAAAAGATTACACATGCTTTCAACCCCACAACATCATCACCATAACATAGATCTAAATTCTTTGCTAAAGTAAAAAGCATTGCAACCCACAAAACAAAATCACAAACAAAAACCAAAACAACAAATAAAGTTCATTTTTTTTCATCTTCCATAGCAAAGCTTTGTCTTTGAGGGAACCTGACAAATCTTTCTTCACTCTTCACATTAACCATTTTCTCTCACTTCATTCTATCTCCTATCTCTCTGTTACATCTCTTTCTCCCATCATGTCATTGCAAGTCAAGTTATTTTCTTGGTCCCAAGAGTAAAAAAAATCAGTGATTTTTTTTTCTTTTACACTTGAAGGGTAATTTAGTTTCTCAAAGGAAGTAAATAAACATCCTTTGTTGTTTTTGTATTGGTTACAGTTGTCTGCATTTGTGTTTGTCTTTTTGTATTTTCTTGTGCTGCTTTTTTTTTTTTTTTTTTCCTACCCTTTTGTGTTTTCATTTTCGTTCTGAAAGATGAGGAAGAATGGGTGGAGGTTACCTTATCATCCTCTGCAGGTGAGTGTAAAGTTTTGATTTTTATGCTGAATTTCATCTTTTTGATTTGTGGGGTGTTTTGTAATTTTGAGAATTATGAGATTTTTTGTTGTGTGTGTAGGTGGTGGCTATTGCTGTTTTTTTGGCACTTGGGTTTGCTTTCTATGTGTTCTTTGCTCCTTTTGTTGGGAAGAAGATTTATCAGTATATTGTTACAGGACTCTACACACCTCTGGTAACTCAATTTTTTAGCTTTATGTTGTTTTTGATACTTGTTTTAAAATGGGTCGGTGGAAGTGTGATGAGATCTGTGATTGTTGCTTTTTGATTCATGGGTTTGTTGTTTGTTTCTAAGCTTTCTGTTCAATCTGGTTTCTTTGTTCTTTCTTGTGATTATCTAGATTAGTATGTTGAATTGTAGTGTTCAATCCAAGGGACTATGGAACTGTTTATGTTACTATGTAGTACCGATGCTTCACATTGAAGCCTTCGCATGCCCGGTGTTCAATTGTGACATAACACAAACACCAACATGTATGATTACAATCAATTACAATGTTTTTTTCAAATTATTACCGGTGTTTGACGTGTCTGTGTTTGTATGATACCTGCATTATAATGATGTATCTGTGACGGTAGAGAAAACACCTCTTAGGTGTGTGGTTGGGCCTAACTCGACTTCGTCAAACTGATTAGTGGGGTGACGATTGCCCCAATTTATAAACATATGTCCAGGCTATATATTGTCTGATGTGAGACTCTTAATTACACCATATACTGCTGTGTATAACCTCTTTATAGCTGCTATTGCCGCGCGTCATTTTGTTTGTTCCAGTGTTTTCAAATAGTGGCTTTAGCAGCACTATAGTGCTGCGATGTTTGAACAACTTTCTATTATTATGATACTCTATTTACATATTGTTGTCAAATAGTGACTATAACAACGCTATAGTACAGCAACTTAGATAAATTTGAACAAACCGCTATTTTCTGCAATCCGTGCTTGACAACACTGGTATGTGTTTATCAATATTTTTATCTGGTTTTACATGCATGAAAGACATTATCATCATGATTCATGTCAAGTGACAACATGTGACCCCTTTCCAGATTGCTAGTGTCTTTGGACTATACATTTGGTGTGCGGCAGCTGATCCAGCAGATCCAGGGGTTTTTAAGTCTAAAAAGTATCTTAAAATTCCAGAGAGCAAAAAGCTTAGTGGGTTCAAGGATTCTAAACGAGGCGGGGAATCAAATTCATCCGTGCACGATGGAAATGCTTCAACAATTGGACCGAAGTCCGTGGATAAGGAGGCGTTCGGAACCGAAGCAAGTTTTAAAGATGCTTCAATTTCCAAAGAGAAGAAAAGTGCATTGCCCCCTTCGTCATCTTGTTTTCTGTGGCTTTTCTCTCCTTGCGCTTATGTATGTGGCTGCTCTAGTTCACAAGACGACTCTTCTGATCAACTTGCTAGTGAAGACGGCATGTTCTACTGCAGTTTGTGTGAAGTTGAGGTTCGTAGAAGCATTTGAATTTTGAATGTAAACACTATTTCTCCCGGATGTTAACGGTTCATTTTGTAGTATGTTTTGGATAATCCTAAATGCAAAACCCAGATATACCATTGGGCATTCCATGATCAATGTTTTGTTAAAAAATTAGGATTATCTTGAAATGATTCTAGTTTGGTATGAGATGAGTGCTTGGAGATTTATTTACGGCAATATGAATAATGTTGATGCAGGTCTTCAAGTACAGCAAGCACTGTAGAGTTTGTGACAAGTGCGTTGATAGCTTTGATCACCATTGCAGAGTATGATATTCTGATTTCTTTTTTTTCTACCTATCCGTTGATATATGCTGAACGAAACGGTTGTTATTTGATTTTGCAGTGGCTTAACAACTGCATTGGGAAAAAGAACTATCGAAATTTTTTCACTCTTATGGTTGCAGCTCTTCTCTTGGTAAGCAAAATCGTCCCCTATGCCTTACTTATCATGTAGGTGTTCATCCCTAGCAATAAAGTCGCATAAACTCAACTTTATACTAAAATCATATCAATCAACTTCTCTAGATCGTTCTAGAGTCCTCAATTCTCAAAATACTATTCCCTCATTCCTTGTCCAATATTTAAACACTATGTAGTACTGAAAACCTTTGAAAAAAGGTGTGTCTGTGTCACTGTTTCAAACTAACACCAACGCATGTGATTATGTTTATTTTTTTTATCTTCAAATTATTACCGATGTCGACGTGTCGGTGTCAGTGTCGAATTTCTGATGTCCGTACTTGATAAACATGAACCTTAGCACAACTTACTACATTCTAGGACCTAAAGAAACCTCATAGGAAGCATTTTAAGTTTCCTAGTCAATGTCATTTGATTAACTATTGACAGGTATGTACATGGTTTGTGCACTTTGGGATTGAGATTGCAGCTTATTCTTCAATGGTTAACTGGGATAATTGTGCTTATCTGCTGTTTTCTCAAGAGGAAGGAATTTTCTGTTGACGTATCCTCCAAGTTGGGAAGCAGTTTCTCTCTCGTTCCTTTCGTTATTGTAGTGGTGAGCATTCTGCTCAGTGTTTGCATATATTACGTGGTTTTCGTACTAATTTATTGGTTATGCATACCGAGTATTTATTCTTTTGCACATTCCTTTCTTTTACAGGCAGTTTGCACCATTTTGGCTATGATCGCCACCTTACCCCTTGTTCAGCTTTTCTTCTTTCATATTCTTCTCATTAAAAAGGTAAGCCACTGTTCATTACTAGAAACTGTACTTCAATACTTTTCATTTGTAAATTCCGATACAATCTTTCGTATAAGTCTATACGTGTCAGTGTCAGTGCCGTGTCTATTTGTCGCTTCTTATGATGGTAGAGCTTAATCTTATTGTTATTGTCGAGTACCTCAGGGAATCAGCACGTATGATTACATCATAGCTTTGAGGGAGCAGGATCAGCAAGGAGTTGGAGGTCAGCAGAGTCCTCAAATGTCACCTGTTAGCTCGATTACCGGACTAAGCAGTGCAAGCTCCTTTTCTACTTTCCATCGCGGTCAATGGTGCACGCCCCCGCGCATGTTTATTGATGATCAGGTAATTTTTTTGTCCATCCAGTCAAGTTTTATTCCTTAATGTTTGTAGGTACTACATCTTCCTTAAATACCGAATGATGAATAATCAGAAATTGAGATTTGCTTAGATAGTTAATGAAAAACATTTACGAAGAATACTATGTGATGATTTGCATGTTGTAGTTTGATGTAGTGCCACCCGAAACAGCTTCTGTAAGTTCTCTAGGAAAGAAGTCAATTCGAGAAGAACCGGTTAAGAAAAAGAATCCTGGAGCAGTCAAAATTAGTCCGTGGACATTGGCACGGTTAAATGCAGAAGAGGTTTCAAGGGCCGCAGCAGAAGCAAGAAAAAAATCGAAAATTCTGCAGCCTGTAGTGAGACATAACAATGAGCCATTCAGGTTAGAAGCCGATCATACCTCTGGTAGCAGTGGACGACGAATGGCCCCAAGGAGGCCAGGCAAACGCATTCGCTTACCCGCCGACTTACCTATGGAAGCCTTAACAAAATATTCCACCGGTAATATCGACAAAAGCTTCAACAGAATGTCAAGTCTAGCACCTCTCCAGCTCGAAGCGCGGACAACTCAAGTCCTCTCAAGCTCAAGTGGCATTGCCGCGTCTTCTCCGGAAAGCAGTTTAGACTCGCCAGATATCCATCCGTTCTGCGCGCCTCCGGCGGAAGGCGAATCAACAAGACGGCTTGGAAGTCTTTCAGTCGGCTGTTCAACGGCAACAAAAGGATTTCCATTTTCAAGATCAGCTAGTGATGGATACGATGCTTCTGGCGGCGAAGACAGCGACAGGGTTCCAACAAGGATTGTTGATAGATCAACAACAAATTGGAGTAATCTTCTTTTCAATGCTGATCAAGATGAAACAAAATCATCATCTAGCTTTGTTCATAATAGAAAGTTGTGACCAAATTGATCTATTGTTGGGAATTGTTCATTCTTTGATTTGAAGTACTTCAACATTCCTTAACCTATGTACAAAGTTTTAGGTCACATTAACTATGAAGATATGAGGTTGAGCTTCTTAATATGTTGTTTTGTGCATTTTATTTTCTTTGATTAAATTTTAATCAGATACCTTATGTTATGGATGGTTTATGATGACTTTTATATTATTAATGAAAAAGACAGGTAATTACTCTGAGAAAACAATGCTAATTAATTACTTTTATATTATTTGTCTTAAGACATACTGAATATCTTTGAAAAACACAATTTATTGTAGAGAATTTTTAGACTTCAAATACCAACATGACTTTATTAAGAATGTTTTTATTGGATATATTTTGGAGGATCAAAGAGACGAATGTGTTAAGAATGTCTTTTTTTTAAATATATTTTGGAAGATGAAAGTATCTATGTGAAGACAAAGTCAAATGTGTATTTCTTAACTGATTCATAAGAGAAAGACCGAAACTTAAACCAACAAACATTTTAGAATACGAATTGTGAGATGTTAGATTGAACTCTAGTATTGTTGAAAGGTAGCTTCTGGTTCGACAAGAATTAAGCATGAGATCGAAGTATGTTCGCATGCTGCTGTCGGAGTAATTAAGAATGTCATTCTGACTTTATTAAGAATGTTTTTTTTTTATATATTTTGGAGGATGAATATATCTATGAAGAAAGAGACGAATGTGCTAAGAATGTCTTTTTTGATATATTTGATTTATTTTAGAAGATGAAAGTATCTATATGAAAAAAGAGTCGAATGTGTATTTCTTAGCCGATTCATAGGAGGAAGACCGAAACTTAAACCAACAAATGTTTTAGGATACGGATGATAGGAGAAAAACATATATGTGTGAACTTGATTGAATTTTTTTAAACTTGTGAAACTTAAAATGTCGCATTTTAGAGGATTGAGAAATGGTCAATTGCATATTAGAAGAAGCAGGTGTTATGGTGGTAGTACTATTACGGGCCTTTGTTGCACATCATTGATCCATAGCAGGCCACATGATGAACTAGTCCACAAGACTCCTTTTCATTAGAGTAATGATTCTTAATGATTTTGCTCACCATGAATTCATTGTAATGAGGAACATAACACACTTATTCATTCTAGCATCATTATTTATTTGCCCACTGTCTCTTGAATTGGATGCCAGAGAGAATATTATTGCTATGCATAATAACTCAAATCAATTACTACTTCTAATAGTTTAGTGTGTTGACTAATTGCAGGTGTAATAGAAGGTTACAAATTTTGTTTTATTTCAATACTCATATTTCTCAACTTCATTCTTTCTAATATTCAAATTTTCTTATATATTCTAAAGTATTTGTAAGAACGATCATTTGAAGTTGGGTGTTTTGGGCGAATTAAAAGAGTGATGCATAAATAGTGTGTATAATATTCTAAGTTTAATATCTAATAATTTTTTTTTGTATGCCTTGATGTTTACCTTTCATGTTTGATCGATTATCATATCCTTGTTCTCTCACATTATTAATATCTAAACCAAGAGTTTCCAATACATTTTGTAATTCCTCAAGCAATTTTTAACCTGTTGTATCATAGACTTTCAAAAATTCTACAAAAAACTCTTCAATTTTTATTGGACTTGTAGAAACATCCACACAACGTATAATGAGTCATTTGTTCTTGATGACCTACTTCAGGAGTACAATCAAGAATCACATAAAGATATTTTGTTTTGATTTTTTTTTACTATTGCACTTTTGACTTCATTACCTAACGTGTTAATCAATTCATTTTGAATCTTATGACTAAGATAATGATAATGAATTTCATTATTTTTAATACGTTCAAAATATTTTTGCTTGACAGGATCCCATTTAGCAATCATTTTAATAAGAGAAAGAAAGTTTTCATTATTTTTCACATTAATCCTCTCATTTTTTTTCTTCACAAAATGCTAAATTTTGCTCAGCTAGATATCTAGTAACATAAACTATCCTAAGTAAGACATCCTTCGAATGCCTTTTTTCATTTCTTATAAGCTCTTGAAGATGTTGATCAATTGTTATATTTTTCATATATCTAATTTGTAAGTCAATCCATTTCCTCATGAAAGACATGTGTGCACAACTTGATTCATGCTGTTTAAACCTTTCATAAAAATGTTTCCAATCATTAAAACCTTCATTTGCTAACGATTCATTCTACAACAAAATAACTTAATGCAAAAAAAAACCTATCCAATTCTTTTGAATAGACAAGCCAATTGCTATCTTGCTCTTCTACATTAGAACAATAACGAATATAACATGATGATGAGAAATGCCCTCCAGAAGTATCTTTAAGACCATTTACAATTGACACATCTCTTTTAGGACAATTTCTTAGCAATTCATCTCTTAAGTCATTGCTAAGGTTATTCCATACTCTTGGATCATAAATGTCCAATAGAATAGACTCGTTAAGTTGATCAACAAAAACATGGATATGTTCATTTTCATTATTATAACCTTCATCATCAAAATTTTTAGCTTCATCGTCATCTTCATTTTCATTGTTTTCAACTAAAATATTTCGCTCTTCAACAATCCTATTTAGTTGTTCATTCTCAAACTATCAACTTCAAGGATCAAATTACCTAGATTTGCATCATTCGAAATAGAAATTGTAGGGTGTTTTCCATAATTTTTATGAATAACACCCTTTTGAGATTTATTATCAATTTCAATTAATTTCTTTCTTTTTTGTTTTAGATGACCAAACAATTGTTTTCTAGGCAAAATTTCAAGCAATCAAAGAGATGAAACAATAGTATCCGGTGTTGATTTTTAATCTTCAACTTAAATTCTGATTAAATTGTTCCAAAAGTCTTTAAGCATCAAATCAAACTTGATCCTGAAAAATGAAAATCAACATGAAAATTAGCATCTTATAAAAAAAATTTATTTATTTTTGACTAATATATATATATATATATATATATATATATATATATATATATATATATATATATATATATATATATATATATATATATATATATATATATATATATATATATATATATATATATATATATATATATATATATATATATATATATATATATATATATATATATATATATAACTTTTTGATTCATTGATTGTTTGGCTTGACACTTACGATAAATACTTATGCTTTTTCAATTTTCTTGTTAAATTGATGGTCGACTCTGATGCTTTTTCAGAGAGATAGAGAAATTATAATTAGATTAAGATTTGAGAATTAGAAAGAGCACAAATTCATAAACTAAGGTAAGGTTTTGTGACTTTTAGTCTTAATAAAGAGTTAGAAATCTGACTTTTCAATGATTCATACTCTCTATATCATTATTTTAATTTTAGTGCCCCAATCAGACTCTTTAGTTGCTAAAATTATAGATATATTAATTGATTTTGTTTTAGGGGAAATAAATGATTTTATTCTACTCTATATTTTATTTAAGAGAAGTTACATTCATTTATTAATTTTGACTTAGTAATACTCCTATAATTTTGTTGGCCAGTATTTTTCAAAAAATAAAAAATAATTCTAGCAAGTATTTTTATAATAGAAAATTCTCTTTTAATATATATATATATATATATATATATATATATATATATATATATATATATATATATATATATATATATATATATATATATATATATATATATATATATATATATATATATATATATATATATATATATATATATATATATATATATATATATATATATATATATATATATATATATATATATATATATATATATATATATATATATATATATATATATATATATATATATATATATATATATATATATATATATATATATATATATATATATATATATATATATATATATATATATATATATATATATATATATATATATATATATATATATATATATATATATATATATATATATACTACGCCAAAATTGCTTTTTAGCAGCACTACAAAGACAACGTTTTTTTTCAAAAGCGCTGCTAAAAGTTATAAAAAAAAACAAGAGAAAAAAGCGCTACTAAAGTATGTCCTTAGAAAGTGCTTCTGAAAAGCGCTGCTAAAGGTCACACCTAGGTTAAATAATAGAAAGCGCTTTATTAAAGCGCTGCTATAGCTAGCTCCTGTCTAAGTCATACCTTAGACAACGCTTTTCAAAAGCGCTGTTAAAGGTCTAGGATATGAAAGCGCTTTCTAAGCAAAAGCGCTGCTATAGGTATAGGAAAAGAAAGCATTTTCAAAAGGGTTGCTATAGGTTATTAAATTTTAAAAGTTAAACATAATTTTTATGTTTTGGAAACCATTATCTCTCTCTCTCTCTCTCTCTCTCTCTCTCTCTCTCTCTCTCTCTCTCTCTCTCTCTCTCTCTCTCTCTCTCTCTCTCTCTCTCTCTCTCTCTCTCTCTCTCTCTCTCTCTCTCTCTCTCACAGACGTACCTCTGTTCATAACCCTATTAGAAGAACTCCTTCCGTCGTATCTTCCTCCGAAAGGCCGTGTTATCAGTCGCGACTACTCCCTCCGCTGTAACACCCTCCGTCTTCAGTTCTGTCCTTCTCCCTCTGTTCGCGTCCGGCCGCGCTCCACCATTTTCAAGGTATTTCTTCATTTTCAAGGTTATTTGCATGGTATTTCTTTATTTTTTTTAGATTCGCAAACCATGAAATACATTATGATGTTGTTGTTATTTGAATTCAATAGAAGTTTGAATGAAATTGTTGGTGAATTAGTATTGAAGATATGAATTAGTGTTGAATGACATTAGTGTTGAGTTTGTTTTGTTGTGGAAACAATTGAAATGAGACATTGAAAGTGTTGATGTGGGTGTTGTTTGAATTTGATTTCAAAATTTTGTTGTAGTAAGGTTCAAGATGATGAATAGTGATATTTGAAGTGAATTTATTTTGAGCTTTGGTGTTAATTTTGTAAGCTAATGTTGAAT